TACAATGATTCTCAGCTTGGACACTTAAAGGAAGTATACTTTACATTATATACTATGGATAGTTCTACAACTCTTTGAACAGCAATCAATAATAACAATTTTAAAGAATCAAATATTTACTTTGAATCAACAAATAGTTGACTGAAAAGAGTCAAAGTTGCAAAAATTATTGTGTAGAATCTATACAATTTCACCTGACTTTAAACATTTCCTACTTTTCGCTGTAATACTCTTGAACATGCATCTGATTTATATTGCATGAATTTCAATCTTTATTTTTCATTTTGCTTTCAACAAGAGAGATAAAACTTAACAAAGTCTGGTAGGATAACCACAAATGAGGTGAAGGGGACTGCCACTTTCTATTCACATAAATTTGGATGGTTATAAAATGCATATTAATTAAATAATTAAAATTAAAAATAAAATTTAAAAAGTACACTCTACCAATATTTAGAAAAATATTTTAGCTCCCTCATAAATACTATATTTAGTTATCTGTTCTTTCTAAAATCTCTTGTTCTTCCTTCTTCAGAGTTCTAAGAGAATCTTGGATTTTACTCTTACAGGTATTACCTTGTGAAGTCAAATCATTTCTAATCAACTGTCATGTCCATTTGATTCTTCATAATCAATATTACACTTTTACTGAATGCTTACTTGATATAGTAGAATGTGTTAGGGGTTCCATATACTATCGTATACGGAAAACATAGTCTCTGTCCTTAAGGGACTTGCCATTAAGCTAGGGATATCTGCAAAATAAGCATGAACGCATGTGCAGGCACGTGTGTGCACACACTCACACATGCACACGAAGTATTAGTTCCAAATAATGGTATAAGGAGCAAGTTCTTTTGAGGTATGGAGCAGGGTGCACGTCCTGACAGCAAAATTACTTGGGAAAGCCTCCAGGAAAAATAGGGCTAGTCCAAGGAAAGGGGGAATTTAGTTAAGTGAAAGCAGAGGAGAAGCTGAAAAAGGAAAGAGCAGAAAGGCAAATAGTTTGAGGCAAAATAAATGCACTAGTTTGTCTAAAGCCTTCATTCAGGGCACTGTGAAAGTAAAAATTAGAGTGGAAGGAAAGGATTAAAATATGGAATATGGAATATGAGTGATAATTTGCCATCACTTGTTCACAAATAATTTACAGGAAGCACTATACCATATCTATTCTACACTTTCTAATGCTCTAAAACATCTCTACCAACCTCAGGTACCCATATTCGACCATGCAGAATTTTACTATCATGGAGCTGAGTAAAAAGACTGAACAAAAAAAAGTTTCAGTGTTTCTCCCTGAGTCTAAGGATACTTAGGGGTTCTTAGATTCCTCAAGTAAAATTCTGAATTCTTCATTTTCCCTTTTGAACCTGTCTTTTGTGTCCTCTGTTTCTCTTTGTTGGCTTTTAAAGTGGTATAATTTTTCCTAATTTTCTTCTTTGTCCCCAGCATTCCATCAGTTGTCTTGTTCTGGTTTTTCATAGCACTTCTTGTGTGGATTCCTTGCTCTCTACTCCCAGTCCTATACTTAACTCAGACATTACATACCAACAATTAATCTCTGCTTCCAGTCTCTCCCAGTTCCAGAATATCCCACCACACATGAGTTTCATTAAGTCATAGTTCATTCAGTACATTTTCAGATTACTCTTCCTAAAGCAAAGCTCTGATGTGTCAAACTCAAGCTCATAACATTAACAAGCTCCACATTAACTGAAATAAACACCGTTGCTTGCTATATATTTAAGTCACTCAACAGTCTGGTCCTGCTTCATATATTCTAAATTCTATTTTCCTTTATATATTCTAAATTCCTGTCAAGCCTAGTACTCAATGTTTTCTAGGCACATATCACGAGTTCCTGATTCTGAGTTGGTAGTATTCTATTTGAATTGTTCATTGCTTACGACTTCAGATAACATTTTCTTATCTCAAGAATCCTTTATTTCACTAACTCTGAGTAATATGCTCCTATAATAAATACCTGTGTTATATTGTTTCACTTTTATGGATCTGCTTACTTCATGAATTATAAGAGGAGATAAGAGAAAAAGAAAAAAGACTGGCAAGGAAAATAACCACAAACTTATAGAGTGCCTTAAGAAAAGTATTAACATGCAAAATACAGAAAAAAAGATTTTATATTGTTTATAGTCTCATTTATACTGATAATGAGATATTACAAGAGGTAGTAGAAATCAGGACCTACATACGCTACACCATGAGAGACACAAGGAGCAATTATTATGTTCCAGGCACTCATTTTATTTGCAAGAATCTTATGAGGTAGGTATTGGTATTACTTACCTCATTTTCAGCTGAGAAAACTGAAGAAAGAAATGTTAACTGCCCAATCCCACTTGGCTATTAAGTGCTGAATCTGGAATTGGCATCCTGACAATCTGGCACCAGAGCCCAGATACTGATACCATTACGCCCTCCTGTCTCTTGTTTACAATTGCATCAGCATAAAAACCCCTCTCCAAAACAACAAGTACCATGATTTCATTTCAGGATGCATAAGTGTGCTACTTAAATGTCTTATAAAAATCCTTTCACTTTTGTTTAATTTCCAAAGTACTTTGAAATGCATTTAATTATATGCAAGCAAATTTTGATTGAGTTAGATTAATATTTCTTTTGCCTCATAAAATATACAATATGGCTTAAGATTATTTAAGTACAAGCATCTTAAGACTCTATAAAGGTGAGGATACAGAATCCCGAAGTGACATTCCCATCAATATTTGACATCTAATAAACAAGAAGTTAATGATAGCAGCAGAAACAGATAGAAGAATGAATATCGACTCAATATTTAGCAAGATAATTACACATTTGATTATAATTTATATACTTTAGAAAAAGACAAAATTCGGGTTTCCCCTAGTTTTCATTTGTTCTGAAATCTGCTTCCAACAAGCCAAGGGAAGCTTTCTTTTTATCTATTGAAAATAAATGTAGGCATTGGTCACATGCTAATTCATATAAGCATAAAATGTGTACTATATTAACTATGAACATTTTAATTTTATAAACCCATAGCAGCAGTATATCAGACATTAAATATATAATTTTTAGATATTGTTTTACACATACTATTATTTCTCTGAGATATTTCATAGTTAAACTTAAATTAATAATAAAATGAAAAATCTGAAACAGCAATTGCCAATTGAAAAATACTACTAACCTAACAATGTCATAATTTAGCCTAATTATTAGTTTACATTATAAAATATATTGTTTAATAAACTATTTTATTAAATCATTAATTTTTTATTTTAATATTCTGAGCACTGGACAATAACATTTAAAAAAATACTTCTTTATATATCCTCTATACAATGGTTTATAACGACCACTATATACCGCATGTGAGCACAGGGAGTTGCACCAACAGCTTAAACACATTTATTATGAACATCTTTTATTTCTCGGAAATAGGTCTTTTTTTAAAAAAGGGAAAACAGGATCTAACTCTTGTTTGCTCTTTAAAGTTTCATTGTTTTAGCATTTTATACAGGGAGTGAGCATTAGCATACTCAGGAGAACTGCTGAAAGTAAAAGGCCTCAAGCTACCCACTGCATGGCTGATAGGATAAAGCGGGGATATAAAAACTTTTGTCTGATTGCTCACTTTCCTTGTTTTAGAGTACTGCTACTCTCAAGAGCATATATTCATGTTCTTTCTACTTCGAGTTTTATTACTTCTTTTGTATTATTTAATACATCTAAAGACACTTCCAAAAGACAAATTTTTCCATTTTGAAGAAGTAATGGTTTGGAACCTGATAAAACACATTAATGTTCACAGTGTGTTTTCTGCAAAGGTGATAGAGTAAAAGTGCTATAAAGCAATTAGGCATATGATCTTAAAGACATTAATATGTCAAATAGAATAAAATGTTTAAAAAGTCAACAAAAATAATATCTTGTGAAAGGTCAAATGAAAATGGGCACCTATAAAGGCCATATTTCTCTTTCAGATCTTTGACCAGATATTTAATGGGAAAATAGAGAAAGAAAATATAAAAATGAAGGAAAGGACTAATCTTACCTCAATAACTTGAAATTAGAAGTATATGATGCTTAACTCTAGGAGGTATGGACATAAGTTACAACTCCTAACAGCTGAATGGTGTATACACTTCATTACTCGGATTCTAATTTTTTCCCTCTGAATTCTAAGTTCTACTAGGGTCAATACTTTTTAGTAAACAAGAAACTGATATGCTTGACACTACTGAATAAGGCCAGGCATTTTTTAAAGTGTCATACACATTTCTGAAATCCACAATACATCAATTTTTAATACTTCTACTCTCTCAGCTCCATTAAAAAGATGGTAGGGGAAAGATTTTAGAGTAATTAATGATATAGTTAGCTGCTAAATATTAATAGGAATCGTAGTCTTGCATAAAATATAACATATAAACCTTGCCAATACAGACGCACCAGTAATTAAAGTTGAATATGTAATTACACTGATTTATAAGACAGGCAAAAAGTTACGCTTTACTAGCTTCTATGTAAACTGTGGGTAACAGTTAAACTTTGCATTTTACGGTTTATAAAAATGGGCAATATCTTGACTACAGTTCATAAATGGTTTAGAGACCTGTAATAGTAGTAAAAATTACAACAACTTATTCCATCATGAATATTCCTATTGCACCATACAAACCAAACTGTGATAACGACCCATAAGATGTAGATTCATCTTAGCTGCTGCTTTATGCCCTAGAGAACGTTAGTAGTACTAAGAATTTGTAGAGGACTGCTAGGACAATAATTATAGGACATTTGAGAGAATCTAAAAGATGTATTAAAACTAATTTTGATACACTTTTTCATATATGAACATGGTACAGTTTAACTCCATTTAAACTTGTATTTTTAACTTACATAACATTAAAAACTTCAGAAGAATACTAAATTTTAGAAGCATGTGAACATAGGTTCTTCCCCTTAGGGAGTCTGTTAACCACACTTAC